ATAACAACTTTGGTTTTGTTGTTCATTTGTTTTCGTTTGATATAATTGCCATTTGCCAATGTCTTAAATGTGTAGGTTAATAAACACAGAAAATTTACTGGGTTACAAACCCAATACAGTACTAGTTTAGAAAAACTGAAATAAACTGTTCAGAGTGTTTCACAAATACACAATTTAAGGCCTTATAAAACAATACTCCAGTTGATCTTAAGTTTGTAACACCACTATATTTAAATTCTAATGTCTTGCTAGGTAATATAGAAAACACCTGCCTAACTTCATGTAGGGTTGAGGAAGAGCCTAAGAAATACATGAGCAATATTTTAAATACAATGTCTATTCCAAAATGTTAAAACATTAATTGGACTTCTGAGAACAAACACTCCAAACATCATCTCCCAACAAGAATGCAGTGTGGGAGTGGGAGAAGTATTGCGAACAGCACGCTTGGATAACAATATCATCATTGGAGCTTTTGTTGAATTTTCACTAAGCAAAATTTTTCCTTTAATTTATATTGCTGTAAATCTGAACCAGCTCCACTACCTTCACAGTGAAAATTGTTGCAGAGATTAAACTGATTCCCAGAAGAACAAATCAATCTAAACAAGGTTTGGTTTAGTTTCTACTTCAGATGTCAAAAGCAAGTTCTAACAGTCAGTCAGTCATTAGGAAAACTACTGAAGAATAAATCTCTCTAACAGAGGTTGTTGCTTGGTTGTTTTTTGGGGTTTTTTGTTTTTTGTTTTTTTTTTAAGTATCACACCTCTAAAAAAAAAAACAAGATTAAGTTTAGTGTCTATATTAAATAAAGCAAACAGTGATGACAACAGAAGCCCTGCATATGCCTTACATTTTCTTTACATGTCCATGCAGGAAATCCTCAAGATATGAATTGTGTCATTTACACTTGAGACATCATTTCCTTTTTCCTGATGAGAGGGAAGACAAAAAAGGAGAGTAATACTGCACTTCTCCAGTAAAAGAGTATATAAAACTTTTCACTTCAAAAATAAACCAAGGACAGTTACGTAGATCTGCACAGTATTTTCCAGGAAAGTACCACAGTAAAGCCCATTTAAAATCAAACCTAACGGTGAACTAGCAACAGGCCCCACTTTTCACTCATTAGCATAGCTTACCATAAAAAATACCTCTTTATATAGATGACTGTGTTCTACATAGGCTCCTACATCACTCGTCACCACAGACCTGAACAATTTATCGCATTAAGGAACATGACTAGTACCTGTAATGCCTGACATATGCTTCAACTGCTGATTGCTTATAAGTTTCCAGCACAGTGGTGAGTATTACAAGCATAATCTGTAATTGCAGTGCCACCTTTTATTAAATTAAAGCAACACTTCTCTCAACAGAAACACTTGTTTTCAGTTGCATAGGCAACTTTATCATACTGCTAAGGCTGAAGTCTTCAAGGCTAGATGTCTCCCCACATTAAAAAAATAGGAGGGTTATTTTTGAGGTCAAGAATAAGATCAAATTACTCATATTAAAATAGAATTCTTAGCATCACGCATGAAGCTCTAGTGCTATTCATACTTGTCAGTAGGATATCAAGTTTAGCAAAGAAGCTAAACTTCTAATTACTTGCTCCTGATGTGAGCTAAACTCCTCTGAAGTGAAAGCTGTATTTTTCTTCACCCTAGATTTCCCACCCCCTCACTGCAAGATCCACTGAGGCAGTGGTGGGAATTCAGTTTTAAGACTTTGCTGGCCAAATTATCTTGCAAGTCAGAGCCTGTGCTGAGCACATTCTGTTGCCTTGCAACCTCCTTCATGCCAAGTGGACTGTGTAAACTCAGGACAACTGAGCAGGCTCTAGTTGAAAGCCCTAGAAGATGGGCAGGACTTTCCCTGCACTAGTTCATTCACAATTCTCAGGCAGCACTGAGGTGGGAAACTAGAACCATCAATGAGAAAGGATGAGAAAGAGGTGCATGATTGCACAACCGTGACAGACGCGGAGACTGTATACTAATGCATGTGTTTAAGATAAAAGAATTAAGGTTACATATGCAACCTCAGTTTTGGTATTCTCTAGATTTAAAGCACTGGACTTCATAAACTTGACATGTTCTTTTTCCAATGTAATCATATTTTGTAACTATTTCCAAATACTGCCAAGACCTAGCAAGAGTCTTCAGCAAGTATTTGCTGAGAAGTCAAAAGAGACCATTGCCTTTTCAAGGAAATACAAATGAGTAAGAGTTAGCAGATTTCATTGTGTTACTAAGCATGAAGTCATTCATTTTTGAATAGCGTGCTAATGCTTTAAATCAAAAACAGGAAAAAGCACATATGAAATTCTCCATATTTACCCTAAAATAAAAACTATCAGTACTGCACATTCTGCCATGTAATCTCCACTATATTCAAAGAAAGGAGAGCAAGAACATCAGTAATCGAGATTCACCCCCCCCAAAAAAAAATGTAATGAGTACTTCCAAATACAGTACCATTACCACTGAGCACTAAATGTTAGCTAGTGTTAGTTAACACTTTAACAGTAGCAAATTAGGGGCTACTCACACAGGCACGTTTTTGCCTTCAATAAATTTGTCAATGTACATCCCACTCCTGATAAGTTGTCAGTTATGTTTTAGTTTAATCAAAACCAAAAAACATTCCATCCTGTAAAACATTTGCACATACAAAACTAAGAGTACAAAAGCTGAGATGGAAGTTTATGAATGAAAACCGATGAGGGGAAAAAAGACGACAGCAACCAAACACAACTGATTGTCTGCAGAAAGCGAAGTACCCAATTTGTAACCAAATTTTCATAGCAAGTGTTTCAACCACTACTGCCAATTTGCGCTGTTAGCCATCCGTATTCAATGCAGGGGGTCCTGCAGTCTCTCTTGTGCGCATTAACTGGACATCTTTGTCAGCCATGCAAGTATCACAACCCCACACCGCTGATGCTTCTGCTGTAAGAAGGCCATAAGCTGACTCAGTCATGCCTGTACAGATCCGATGAAACCATTTTTGGCAAGAGGCTTCACACAAGATGGCATCCTGGTCATCATTAACTTCATGTGTACAAATTCCACATGGATAGACGGGTTCAGAGGACGAGTGACCATGACGACTGGGATGAAGAGGTGTTTTGCTGCTCTTTTCAGAGTTGCATCCTTCAGCAGCACCTCGGGGCTGGCGGGACTTACTCTGCGTCCCATTTGAATGACCAGCATTAGTGTTATCAGCACTATTAGAATGGCTATTATCCTGATTTACCACACTGTTTCGAGTAACATTTTTTAGGTCACTGTTACCTTGACTCACAATGTCCTCTGTCCTGTGATGATGCTGATGAGCAGCAGTGTTCTGGCTAGATGCTTTGCTTGCACCTTGACTAAAGTCTTGCTTTTGTGCTGATGACTTTGTCTGGTTGTATGTGTTTGGTGGAGGAACAAAAGAATGGTTTGGCTCTAGCTGAGAACTTGGGAAATTTGGATTGTTTCCGGGACCAAAGTTAGATGGCACATCAGGGTGAGGTATCTGACCAGAATGGCCGAAGTTCTCACCAGGATTTGGTCTGAAATGCTGACCAGGCATATTGACATTTTGATTTATCTGACCGCTACTATAAGGTGGTTGATTCCCAAAGCCTGGATTATCGTGTGGACCGAAGCTGAAAGAGTGGGGTCGACTAAAACCCATTCCCACAGGGTTTTGAGGAAGGGGATGCGGTTGGTTTCTGAGGGAGTAAGAACCACCATACGGTGAGGACACCCTGGGCAGCATGTGAGGTGGCATTCTGAAAGTGTTATAGCCTCCAAAGCCAGGATAACCAGGATTACTAAAATATGGATTTCCTGAAGGAAGTGGTTTATAAGACACAGTATTATAGTTGTCATCAAATGGATTTGCAGCTACAAGGTGGTCAGAGCTTGGATTCGGCGGTGGAGCATATTCAGATGGAGGAGGAAATGATGATCCCTGAAAATATTTTAAATACAACATTTAAATTAGTTTTAGTATTTCCCTGCAAGACAGACCAACCACAAAGGTCCTGGATTAGCAGCAGCACTGCTAAAAGAACTGTTCAGCTGTTGTGTAAAGCTCACCCGCTGTACCCTGCCAGGCTGTCTGAAATTTCAGTACAGAGGCTAGAGAGGAGTTTGGGCCCCAGATAACACAGTGATTTATAGTAATTCCAACGTTTTAAAAATTGTGCAGTTGCACAGCCATGCTTCTGAAAATACTACTTGATATGTGACTTCTATTTCTTATTTTTTTACATAAGAAAAGCAACAATACAGAAAGCCATGTGTCACTTAAACACACGCACAAAATATTTCCAAATGAAGAGCAGACTTGAAGCGTTTCCTTAGTTTCATTTTGGATTCATTTTACTGGATATACGTGTCTCAAGACACCCCACTTCTATGAGGATACACAAATCTAATGTTACTACAACCTTAAAAAAGGTATATAGCATATAGGAGTCTGCATATAGGAATTTTCTATATTCTGTGTACCAAACAGAGGTGTCCCTTATGAGCACTCAGTGACAGTATACAGCCTGCAAAGCATAGACAGTAGGTATAAAATACAAGGATTTCTGGTTACGGAACATAACGAAGTGTTTAATGGAGCCCAGAGGCTGTTTAAATGTCATCAGAGTGGCTATACAATTGAATTCATCCTAGACTAGCCTGTGGGGAACATCTAGCTGGTTCACCCTCACGCTAACTGTGCTCACAGAAAGCATTTCCTCCTAAATACTAATAAACTAAGATTGAATTTTTTTTCCCCCTCATTTCTTTCCCTCCCTTATATTTTTCCTGCTGTGCTGCAAATCTTGAACCTGGTAAGAAAAGAGAAGAAACTAACCTGCATGCCCTCTACAGTTATCACCACTTCAAAGCACAAGGAAAGCTCCACCAAGAAAAGAGGTCTGAAACCCTTAAATTAAGTGAGTATTTCTCAGAGCAGGTTTCATCGTGACTACTTTAAAACAAACCAAAAATTAAGAAAACAGATCCACATCTCAATGGAATCTGGATAGGTCTAACAGAAAGTGACTGTTTGACCTACATAAATAAACTTACTCTCACTGGGCAGTATCAAATTAACAGACACTCTCATCCAAAGCTGAATGAACACACAAAGGCAAATTCTGCACTACAGATATCTAATTGCTTTGGATGTTTTGTATTCAGGCTTCCTTTTCTGGAAACAGAAACTGTATTGAAATGCCAAATTGCAAGGATTCACTGGAAAGGAGCTGAACCTGCCTCACGGCTTTGGCGTGAAAATCACTTGGGGAATATACCAAGAGTTTGGTTAAAGCATTAACAAACTGCATTGATCCATTAGCCCACAAACCTATACATATAGGAATAACAGTAAGAAGAAAAATAGTCTCATGGCAACTACTCATGCTGTACAGATTTCTACCAATGGCTACGAAGTCATTAAAAGAAAGTCTGTCTCAGAACGAAATCCATATTGTAAAATGCAAGTTGTTGCAGTCTCACTGTGCTCCTCTCTTTATAGGTCTTCGGCAACTTACAGAGATTAAAATAACTGGTATTATGAAGATTTCAACTTCACTGTACAACTGAAATATTTTTTATGTAGCTGCTATTTGTGAGAATAGATGGATATTCTGAACAATGCGAGATAGTCGTACCAGCAAACAGCATCTGATTACACTATTTATTAAGAAATCAAAAGAACCAAAGGGAATTTACCTGTGTATTTGCTTTGCGCTTTTTCTTATCGGGGCTTCCGAGTTGTACTCCTGGTCCTCCTAACCCATCCAATCCACTGTCACCACCTATAAAATTTCAATCAGTGCAATGCTGCATTAGTTTTCTTACAGACTGTATTTCAAGTTTGCCTCTGTCTGTCGTAGCAACAGGCATCTGTTACAAACACAGAACTTGCATTAGTTCTGGTGCCTTACATTGCAAGTCCTTAAGGAGCAACCATCTGGAGGTGAGAGTATCTTCACATACAGCTATCTCACTGTATCACCACTTTAATGCCTGATTCATGCTCATTACAGTTGGAATAGACATTTCCATTTATTTTATATTTATCTGTCCCTTGGTTATTAACATCCCCACCAGTTAGAGGTATTTCTTGTTTGCATAATGCATAAAACTTTCAAAAGAACTGCTTAAAACCACGCCTAAGATTCACCTCCCATTTAACTTACACAGACACAGCATTTATCAAACTCACTGTACTAATATACAACAGTACATTACAATATGCCATGAAGGAAAAAGCAAACAGCAGTAGATCCATCAGCGAAAACCACTGAAAACTTGCCATGTTGTTTAGACATATCTCCAGTTTACCAGATCTAAATTTCATTAAATGCAAGACTTGATCAAACAAAAAGACACATGCCAAAAACCAGAGGGGCTCTAAGTGAACCTGCCCTACTCTGCAGAAACCTCATAGAATAACGGAGCGTGGCTGCTCTGACACAAAAAGAAGTAAAGAACGTTCATTGCATTGATCACTCAATCAGACTTGACTCAGAGCAATACAAAGAGATGTCTCTACCTCATCTGGGATTCTTCTTCTCCGTTCATAACAGTGGTACAAGGTCTTAAACTTGTATAAATCCTGGCTTTAATTTTTAAAACCCTAGGCAGACCATAGACAAGCAAAAATAATAAAAAAAATTCTAGCGCATTCCTTATTATCCCAGTCAGTCGCTCTTCAAGGGGCTCAAGTGGATTTGCCATCATATAGGAATCCAAAGAAAACCCTGAGCTGAAGTTATGAAAAAAATAATTTTTGGGTGATATGAGAGCAACACATGTTAAGATATTAATGTCATTACATTAAGAAACTGAACATTAATTCCTTTTTTCCCAGGTTGATTAAGATAATAGCTTATTTGCTCTTTTAAAAAAAATAACAGTGTAGAACAGTAAGAAGTGGGCAATCCAACCTAAAAACTTTACTGTTATTTGTTTAAAACTTGTATTTGGAATACAAGTCCAGCTTTACGAAGATGCAAGCATACAGCTGAACACACAGGTTTGTCTTTATTACCAAAAGCAACCTGAAGATAACTGTGAATTATCAATAGTATTATGCAAAGAAGCATAATGTACAACATTACACCGCTCTACATTAGACAAGTATTCCCAGCAGACAGCTAAACCAGCTTTAAACTATTCAGTAAAGTAACACAAAATCTCTTCTCACAGAGAAGAAGTCAATCTGCTGTATACAGACTAAAATATTCAACAGTTATTTCAAATACTCTGGATCAAAGGAGGCCTGACAAATTTTCACTCCTAGCACTTCCTTCCTCTCCCCTCGTTTTTGAGGTTTCAGGGAATTTACCAGTCCTACCTCAAGTAAGAATTAAGTTCTGCCTCTGCTTTAATAAGTACCTTTTGGCTTTGGCTGTCACTGTTGAAATTTAATTTCATTTTTCATTATATGTAAGGAAGATACTGGACATTCCAAATCAATGTCTATCAAATTAAATCTGAATTTCAAAGCCTAGGGCACAAAGTCATTCTACCCTCAGAGTAAGTAGAGATTACTCTCTTAAAAAACAAAAAACAAACAAACAAAAAAACCCCCACAAAACAGACTCTTTGCCTTGATTTATAACATAAAATTCTGCATATACTTAGTGTGCTATAAAGCACTGCCACTGCATTAACTGCAGATACTAAATAATCACAGCATAAAGTTTTACATGACAAACCTCCCTTAAATTCCAACTTGATAAATTATTTGCTCAAAACTGTCCCTGCACTTGCCCTTAGCACCTTCTCCAGCATTCCTATATGTTTACCACAAATTCAGTAGGAGATTGTACTGTGAACACCATTCCTCACAACTGCAGAAAATACACTCCTGTTCATGGTCCTGTACTCTTAACACATAAATGACACCAATCACTGACAGCAAAATATTACAAATATCCAGATTTCTTTTAATAAATTCAACAACTAGCAGCAGATATTAGTAAATCTGTTATCAAGTAGAACACTGAGGATCACATGCAAGTGCTGTTTTACAGTAGCATACGTTAAAACTTCACAAAATTATGTACAAATTGCCTCTCTGGGATACCACTGTTCAAAAACATAAACATATGAATATTAGAATTCCTGTGACCAGTTGCACTGATTTCTACACAAATTACTTACATAGGTGAAGCCATTCACATGCCTAGGTTTGTAACACTGACTCCTACACCTGGGAAGGTACAAAGCTTTCGTATTTTCAGTTCTTGCTGTGAGGCAAATGATTTAATTTAGCCTTACGAATCCCTATTTTCCCCTGTGGATTTTATAATGATTTAATTTATACACGAAAGGAAACAGAATGTTAGTCCTAGCATACCTCCAAAAAAGAGTGAATAAGGGTCATTTTCATGCAGCCAAAATAAACTTTCCAGAAGTCACTTTTGGTACCTACCACACAGACTTTCATTAAAAAGCATACTGAGCGTTTTGGAATGCTGCACTAAGGGTGCAAAAAATTATTTCACTGTCTGAGACTAATTTTCCAGGAAAATATACAATCATTTTGACTGGGACATCATATACGTAATGGATCTGGAGATATAAATACATATCGGATAACTATTCCCTTATTAAGAAACAGACAATGTATTGCAGCCATTTACATTTGGGAAAAGGAGAAGTCCCGTACTCTTTTTTACTTCATACATAGACAAGGTAGACATTTTCAGTGTTGGTCACGAGAACTACAACTTGTAGTTTTGGTTACACATTAAGAGAGTATGACTGCATGCAATTTATGCCATGTTTCACATATTGCAAGTACACTACAGAGTATTTTCATACTCACTGACAAATGTCTGCCTAGGTTTTTACAGGATGGATGCCAGAGTCTTTTTAAACAGTGCTTTATCTCTGTAAGAACGTTCTCCCAAGAAACATAAATGAATGAATAAACTTTTCATTATAGGGAGAAAACTGAAAAGAGTTTAATTTCAACCAGATTTGGTGAGCCTATTCTGTGGCCCTGCTACTGTAAACAGTTTTGATATTAAGCAGTAATCGCATGGAACTCAGTGGGTAAATCAGGCATGTGAAACTGCATGTGCTTAAATATTTGCAGAATCAGGGGCTGAGAGTGAAGGAGTCTAATGAATCCCAGTCTCCTTTGTAATGCTGCTGCATATTTTCATTCTCAAGGTTGCAACCCAGCTGTTACTAGAACAGTTTCAGAAAAGCAAACTGTAAATCAATGACAATACGCATAGCAGAATCCACACCTTTCCCCACTTACCCAACCACAAAAAAACTTGAAAAATCAAGAACAATAGAATTCCAGGGGTAAAACAGGAGGCAAGGAAAAGAGAAGCAATAAACTGCAGATCTTACCATTTTGCCATGATTTTCACCCAACTTGGTCACCCTACTGTCTTTCGTTATTTCATTCAGAAACGTGTTTCTGTTTTTAAGGACTACAAGGACACAACTACCAATATGTAGATCAACGTGCTATTGCCATTAAAGTCAGTTGCTCAAACAAAGTCGGAAGAGATACCGTATTTCGACCCTTCTCCTTACACATTTCAAAGAAAAGCATACTTCAAATCTCACTAGAGCCATGTGCCAGTGCTATTAATAAAGAATTTCGATAAATCTGTCATTTTTCGAAAACAGAAAAACAAGCCCCCAACTAGAATCAAGCACAAGAGCAAGACGAGGGGTAGAAGAGCAGACGCTCAAGTGTAATTTATGGGCTCTGCATCAACACTAACTCGGACATGTGGCACTGCCGACGTATTCCCTTGCACCAACACTATGCACGCTGCATACTAATGGACAGCACATCCAGAAAAACACAGGAGACATAACCACGCACCCGCACGCCTCCGCTCCCGGTCACACCTGC